ATGTCTAAGTGTCCAAATAAATAATTATTATAAATCCGAATGAATGATAACTAGAAGGGACTGTCTAATTTATCACAACAAATAGACAATAATTATTGGGAATTACTTTGTTTGCCTTGCTGGAATTTGTTCTATTTCACCTTATCATTGCTTTCAACTAAAAGTGTATTGCTTGCAATTTATTGGATGCTTGCCGTGCCAACCCAAAATGAGACTCAGTCGAGCCCCAAATAAATCCAATACCTTGTTTTCTTATAGAAATCTATTTTTTTGTGCCTGAGGTGAAACAGTGCAAACAGGGTATTCCTAGTCATGTTTGTCTCTTCTACCCTTCTCTACCATAGAAAATACTTAAGAGATGAGTGAACTCGGTTCCCAAACTATTTATGGTTGCAAGTTGATTTGCAAGATGATTTTGGACACGATAGGACAAAGATCAATAAATGCAATGCATAACAGCCACCCCTCTCTCCTATCATGAAGTGAATTCAAGAAGGGAAGTAGAGATGCTTCAAAGTTCATCAAAATATCTTGAATTGATGTAAGACAAGCCTTGACACAATAGACTCCGGCATAACATTTGGCTGTAATGACACTTCAAGATTTATCAAAACATCATGAATTGATGTAAGACAAGCCTTGACACAACAAACTTGGTATAACATCCGACTGAATTCAATCAATCATATTGGTTCTTTATGTCGGTTGATTCATTTTAAACTCAATTTGATTAGTCTCTTTTATATTACCTTTCCTTTTCTTTAATCTATTAAGTCCACGGTGATATTTACATCCACTAAGTCCAAAATACATTAAAGAGAAACAAGTGTTGACTTAACCCGAGGAAATAAACCTCATTTTATTCGGGGGAAATTACAAAGGAAGAGTCAAACTTACTTACAAGTTAAGGATTTCAAGTCAAACCCAAGATGTGCGACAAGGACAAGTCAAACTTAGAAGAGTGATAATGACTTAGAAAAACCCAAAGTGAGTGATAATGACTTGAAATCCAAACTTTATAATTAGTGATAATGACGTTTTCCTTGGTGATTTCCAAGGGTCCATTAGTCCCTTAAAAGTAAACACACTGGTGATAAAAAGGAATAAAAAATAAAAGATTAGCTTTAGTATAAGAAAGATGTATGCCATTGGTAATGAACCTCCGAAGAGATTAAACCATTAAGCATGAAAAAGTTTTGTGCCTTTGGTAATGAATCTCTGAAGAGATTAAACCATTAAGCATGGAAAAAAAAAAAGTTCTTTCTTATACTTGAATAACAACCTTAATTTTTCACAACTTTTTAATCAAAATAATCAAAGAATGGAGAGAGGTTGCAAAGATGATTATGCGGAGTTGATTAATTGATTATTATAAAACAAACATAATATGCAAAGCAAAATTATTGAAATAAATTAAACAGCCACTAAATAGCATAAAATAGTGCTGAAATTAAGCTATAGAAGGTGCACAATCATAAAGAGATTAAGGCTAGTAAACAAGTGTAAGGAAGGGTGGCTACCCCCCATACTTTTATCACTTCAAATCACATTATTTAGATGTTGAAAAATAGCCCCAAAACAGTCCCAAATCAGCCCCAAAATGATGATAAGAATTAGAGAAAAAAAGTGGGAAATACAAGGATTTAAGCTAGGAATAAGGTTCAAGCAAGGGTGATTAACCCCTCCACCTTTGGGTAGCTTTTAATCACAAGTTTCAGCTCTTAAAACAGTCCCGAAACAATATGAAAACACAAGAAAAAGATGAATAAAGATTGAAATGAAAGCGAGGAGGCTTTACCTCTTGTAGAGAAGGTGTTCTTGTTGTAAACCAAACTTGATTCCAAAGCACCCTCAAGTTTAAGTTATGATTTTCAATTCTTAACTCAAGTTCCAAGTTCAAGCTCTTGTATGGTATGTATGGATGATATGAGAGCTTCAAGGCTTATGGAAGAACAAGAAGGATGGTAGCTTTGATCTTTTCTAACTCTTGATATTTCTAACTCACTTGATATTTCTAACTCACTTGATATTGATTTGATCTCTCTAACCAAATTCTGTATTGTTTTTCAACCTCCTTACAGCAGTCTGAACCTTGCTATTTATAAGCCTTGAGCAGGTCTGATCGAAATATTAGCAAAATTAGGTAGTTGGCAGAACACTGCTGAAACTGCCTAAAAAGCCAAGAGGTCTGGCTGGACCTTGGTATCTCCGACTGGATGTCACTGAGGTCCGGCCGGACTTTAGTGTATTTCCACTATTTCTCACTTTCAGGTCAATACAAGTTGGTACAAGGTGCAATATTGAAATTATGGGGTAGAAACACAGTGGGTATGGCAGGTTGGAATTGTTTGGAAGCTTAAACTCAGATTTATTGAGAATTCAAACCAGTGACTCAATGTACTCGTCATCATTGAGTGTTCGGAATAAAGTGCCTAAGTCTTCCGAGCGGTCAAAATTGGGATGTCTACAGCGACCTAGGCAAAAGTTAGAACACAAAAAATTAGAAAAAAGAAAACTGAGCTTGTAAGGTTGAAAATCCAGAAAGGGCGGCCTTGGCAAAAGTTAGAGCGCAAAAGGAGAGCGTTAAAACCTGAGCGAACCCGAACCAAACTGCGTAAGGCCTGATTCTTATCTTCGCGATACGTAGACAACTTTATCCTGAAGTTCGACCGTAAACACCTCCAAAGCAACTGTGTCCATGTGTTTGATCAAGGTATCCTTGTCCGTTCTTTATCTGAAAGATTGGTTGTGATCCTTGCCCTAAGAGAAAAGCTGATTACAATGCTGAGCAGTGCTATTCAGTGTAGGGGCAATTTTCCATTCCTGGATTCAGGTTTGTACATCTCGAGGATAGATTCCATGTGTGTCAAGTTGTGATCCTTATTGAAAATGGTTTTGAAAAGTTTTGATAAAAGCTAATTTTGTTCAAATTAATCTTTTTACAACTTAGACCATTTTTGAACCAAAAGGAAAATTTTTAGTGCCCACAACTTCAATTTCATTGATTTCAATACAAAGTTCTCCAAAGCTCGATACAAATTAAAGTTGCTTTTTTTACACTCAAAAGGGAAACTTGAAAAGTAAATATCAAAGCAACAAACTTGGGGCATAGTTGAGTCAGTTGTTCCTGCGTCCCCCGCTTGTGCTTGTGGAAGCTTCTGATGCTAAAGTGGGCCTGGATTGTGCCTCATCTTCAAGCCAAGTCAAGCACTCGCCAGAAAGTGGGCAGTTGAAACTAAGAGCGGGAGTCAGAAGCTCTCTCGTCCTCCAAGCAGTGGGATATTGAGCCAAATGTGAGCCTCGGATTGGGAATGAAGTTGGGTATTCTACCCCTCTTTTGGGCAAGTCTGGTCATGTCTGAATTGACACCTGAACCTGAACGAAAAGTAGAATGCACAGTGTGTCAGGCTAATCAGCTGAATACCGGGTTGCCGAGCCATGCTGTAGCTCATTTCAGGCAGATCAAACCAGGGGCAACGCCAAGCAATGTCAGCAGCAGACCTGTTACACATCCAATGGCACCACCACCCTTCGTTCGGGAAATCAACTAGCCGTTGGCGAAAGAAATAGCCTCGTGCTGAATATGCAGAACAAGAATCCACTACTTTCAACCTGTCCATGAACCATATGTGGGGAGGGATGAAAGAGAAGAGAGATTAAAGAATAGAGAGGTGTGCGTTGAGAGGAAAATAAGAAAGGGGTTTTGAAAGAAAAATAGAGCATGAGTGCCGAGTGATGTGAGAAACGCATATTAGAAAGGGTGGGAAACATTACCTGAAGAAGTAGTGGACTTCCTGCAAATTTGTTCATCTCCCACCGATGGAAGGCGTCTAAGCCCATCAAAGTCTCAGCCAATACCAAACCAATGCAACTCTTACCCTTTTTCAAGCCCTGTGCCACTTCAACTAGCTGAATGCTAGACCCACCGAAACTAGGGGCAAGGAGAAAATGCGCTAGCATGCACAAACAAAGGGCGTGTTGCCGAAAACCCCGACAAAGAAGATTGCCTCGGTCACCAGTGTCAAAAAATTGGTGAATCAAACTGGGGATGTCAAGCTCTCCATTGTGGACAAATGATCGGGCCTCCTGAGGAGTGAGCCCACACATCCTCCCTATAGCTTGGATGTGACCAAAACGGGGCTGAGGCAAGATTTCCTCATCGCGCCAAAATGCCATTAGCACTTGAAATTCTTCAATTGTCGGGCATAGCTCTTGTCCCCCGAAGCTAAACACATGCGTAACCGGGTTCCAACATCTAGCTGCGGCATATAAGAACGGAAAACAAAGCGGAGAACGACATGGCAGGAATAGTGCGTTTATGCCGAAACCTCAAAAATTCAGCTTTTCCAAGCCATCTAAAGTTGCAATCCAATTGGAGAGTTTTTCAACGAAAAATGGCTCCATTTGTGGCAAAACAGCAGCTGAAATGAAAAAATCACGAAGCTGGAGCTTTTGTAGAAGATAAGGTAGTGAATGGAAGCCAGGTGTCGACATTTTGGAGGTCCTGCGTATTGGTGGCCGGCAAGGCTCATTGATGGCTGGGAGACGTCCATTGATGGCCAGCAGAAGGAATAGATGGCCGATAGGCCACCCCTCATGGCCGATAGCCTTCCTTTTGTGCCTGTTGCCCTCTTTTGTGAAGATTCAGTTGGATGTTGGAGTTTTATTCTGTTATTTGTGTGTTCTAAAGTCTTGTTTTGAGTCCTTTTAACTTTAGCAAGTTTGCTGTGTTGTTTTTAAGTTGTTTATCAAGTTGTTTTGGTAGTCAAGTTCTTTATTGAGTCGTTTTGTTGTATATCAGACTGTTTTCTTTATTGAGTTGTTATTTTGATTATCGAGTTGTATTACTTTGATTATTTCAGTTGTTGGTCGGTTCGTTACCTGATTTAGACTGTTGTGACAATACAAGTATTTGGTTTTCAATGTCAAATTCAATCTCATTTTCATGAAATGCGGTGCTCATAATGCAAAGTACAACACTTTTTCAAATGAAAGCTGGTTTTCATTCTAATCATGGTAGTTTTCACAAAAGTGCAGTACAGGTTTTTTTTTTTAAAGAAATAAAACTCGTCTGAGGCTGTTCAATGTGCTAACACTATAAACAAAAGAAACTAAGCAAAAATGCAAAAATTAGCGCTATCCATCTCAGGGTCTAGAGGTCCTCTTCGTCCTCTTCCTCGGCAGAGCAGACTTTGTTGCATTGTCTCCATCGACGCCACTGTCTGAATTTGGATAAGAATTTGAACTAGAGTCGTCTCAACTTTTCGCCTCGGAGCCCTTATCGGCCTCAGTATCCCCACTCTCAGAACCTGAGCCAACGTTATCATCTCTACTCTCTGACGACTCTGAATGCTGACTCGCCGCTTCCTCAGTCTTGCTGGTCTCAGCATCATCATCACTCAGAATAGGCTCTGAAGGGCCACTCTCAGTTCGGGTGCCCCTAGCTCGGCCATGGCTACGTGCTGGAGCCTGACACTCCCTCCCTGCTGCCGAAGGAGGCACTGCTGGTCCTACTGCTGCTCCTGTTAGCACACTTGGTATGGGTGGGACCTGAAAGGACAGTTATCATATATCAGCCACATTACACATTTCAGATGTAAGTATGGAGGAGAATGAGTATATGCTAAAGTCAGGTACAGTGTGTGAATGCAGTATGAAAGTGCAGTGCTTTGGGTACAATGTATTAGTGCAGTGTGAGGAAGTTCTTATGACAGTTTCAAGGTGTCAGTGGAAATTTGATGACTGGAATGTAAGAAAACTAAAAAAATTACCTGAATACCGTGGAAGCCGAGCACTGCCTCCCTCCTCAATATCATGCCCTCGAATGAGGCTAGTAGCTCAAGCAGACCCTTGGTGTATCCTGGGGGTGCCTATAAATGCATTGGGAATGATTAATGTCTAGAACAAACAAATATCAGAAAGAGATGGGAAAACTAAAAATATGGTACATAACGGAGGTGTGTCTTGGGCTATGTTGTATCTATGCACACCTGGTGCGGGCTCAATCGAGATTTGATATGCCTCTCCAGTATACTGCCAGTAGGTAAGGGCAGTAGGAAACTCTGGCCACCCGGTCCCCTATCTCGCCTGGGAAGCCCCTCTGCCATAAGCTCTGTTTGCTTGAGTCTCTTTGCGTCTCACCCTCGCGACAGGAGCTCTCACTCCCTCACCCCTGTGAACGCTGGTCAGAGGCGGCATCAAGTGTGTCTAGATAAAGGTCGCATAGTCGCCCTCTACACAAAAATACTTTATCTCCGTGCCTACCATGAATTGGATCACCTCGTCGGCAGATAGCTTGTCTGTCGCTCTCATGGATACTGGTGGTGCCATCGGTATGAACAGAGTAGGTAGACCCATGGTCTGGCGCACGAAGCGCTCGCCTAGGAACCAGGCTTGGCAAATCAGGCCCTCAAGAAGGATATGATAACTGAAAATACCTCAAGCCACATGGTACTGGGCTTGAAGCCCTGTCTGTATCAAGGCCTAGGGCTACCATGTGATCTGAAATAGAAGGTGAACAGGTTATTAGTCGCTGTCAATTGCTAATGTGTGGATCAAAACAGCTATAAAGCAAAAAAATGATTGTGTTTTGAGTTACCTCGTGCACTACTACCATGTCAAAATACTAGCGAAAAAACATGAAGGACTCACGAGTCCTACAGTGAAGCTGGCCGTCATACACCTAAGAAAAGGGGACTATTAATGGAACCTTGTCTACAGGCTCTGGGGCAAGAGCCGGGAAGTATGCGTATACCCATAGTTATAGAGGAAGTGCGGTGATATGTGATCAGTATACAGTGTATGAACAGATATAGAAAATGCAAAGCAGAAAGCATACAGTGTATGGACAGATGCAGAAAGTGCAAAGTAGAAAGCACATGTGTTGAACTAATGTAAAGCAAAAAATACTGAGCAGAAAATGTACCTCCCAAGCTCGCCAGTAGCCTCCAACCAAAGTCCTTCGCAGATGGGAAGAAAAGCTCATATATCCGTACAATGTGGTGAGGCCGGCTCCGCCCCAATTATAAAACTGAACTCGAAGGAGGACCACCAAGGCACTCAGCAAATATAGGCCCACGGTGCTCCACCTGTTTGAAAATAAGGTGGTATCGAAGATGAACATTAGGAAGCCCCTAGCATACTGCTTTGTCTCCTCTGTCGTCTTGGGCTCAGTCCCCCTGAACAGCTCCTCAAACCAACTGTATCGCACCATGCCCGCCCGGTATATCGATGGACGTGCCCCAAGTAGCTCGAGCCAGGCAGCCTCCCACTTCTCCATATCAGGATCGAGAGGGATCGGATCACCCTTTACGTTTAAGCCGGTGATCATGGAAAATTCGTAAGGAGTCATCGTCATCTTCCCCGTGGTGGAAAGGTGGAAGCAGTTGGTAGTGCCCCACCACCTCTCCACCAGTGCTCCTAAGAGAGGACAGCTCGCTATAACCCTAGTCAAGCTGGAGTAGAAGAGGCCGAAGCCTGTCTCATCAACAATGTCATGAACTCTAACTAGGAGCTCGCCATACCAATCTCGAGCAGTCGTTGTAACATAGCCCCTAAAGGTGCAAGACTTGCCCTGTGGCCATGCATGAAGTGCAATTAGGCCAAGGCAATGCATAAAATGCAATCAGATCAAGGCAATGTATGAGATATAGTTACATCAAGGCGGTGCAAGAAATGTAAACAGTTAAGGGCAAAAATGCATAGAAACAGATTTCGTACCTCAATGGCAATGGCCGATAAATGAGACCCTAGCTCCCTTAACAACAGGTCCTCTGGCGCGTCATCAGCGAAGTCAGTAAAACATTTGATGCCACCTGTAGTGGGCAATATGTGTGTCTAAGGATGATACCTCACTGGATCAAAAGGTCGTATACTCAATGGTAATGGCTCTGGCTCGACCTCTGGCTTGGCCTCGAAGTCCGCCTCAAAGTCTACTGGAGGAAGCTCATGAGGAACCCCATCATGAGGGAGATCATCCGCCATCTGAAAAGGTGCGAGATAGGTGAAAAGTGAAGAAAAATGGTAGACTTTGAAAAAGTCAACCTTAGGAGAGAGAAAATGAAGGAAAAATTCAAAGCCGGGAAAAGTGCACAAAATTCGAGAGAAACTTGAGGGGAATGAACCTAGAATGGTGGAAATGAGGAAAGAAGTGTCGAAATCGAATTCCAATCGGTTCAAAGTGAAGAGGGCTAGGAGGATTTAGTGAATAAAGTTTGTGTGGGGTGTTGGAAAACGCGTAAAAGGCTCAAATTTATAAAGGAAAAACACCTAGGGAAGGAGATAGAGCATTTTCGAATGTCTTGGTGTGTGGAAATGAATCCCCAAGCCTTGTATTTAAAGACCCAAGCCGAAAAACCCTTTTTGCCCTCGGCCTGCCATCGATGGCCGGCAAGGCACACCAGTGGCCGGTAGGTGGCTGGCGGCCTCCTCTTGTGGCCGATGGGTTTCCAAGGGTCTCCCCTGTGTCCCTAGTTCTATTTTGTGTTCTTGGATTCCAAGAAGTGAAGAGACTGTTCAGTGATTGGTTCAGAATGTTTCTACGGAGGCTCAGAATCGCGTTTCCAGGGTACGATGTTCGTCACTCATCAACATAAGCAAGGTGTATCCTTTTAACATATTGCAACTCTTCTGAGAGGTAAATTAGGAGTTGTTCTTGAATTGGTTTTAATGAATACACTTTTGTTATTGCATGGAATATGTGTTTCTTTGTCATAGCATGGAACGTGCATTCCACTTATACCATTGCATAGAACATGCTCTTACTGTAGCAGCATAGAGTGTACTTCCGCTCTTGCATTATGTATAGAACATGCTTACTGCCTTCGCTCTTGTACTATGCATAGAATATGCCCTCAAATTGTTTGGTTTGCGTAGAACATGCCATTATATCTCAATTGTTATCATGCATAGAATACGCGTTTTCCAATCATGCATAGAATATGCGCTTCTCACACTTGCATAGAATATGCGCTTCTCACATTTGCATAGAACATGCCTTACCATTATTGTAATCATGCATAGAACATGCACCCTTAATATATTGTACTTGTTGAGTTTCTTTCTTATGCAGGTACGATATTGTATGTACGGTTCATTCGGTGGAGCCAACACAGATAGACGATATTGTATGTATGGTTCATTCAGAGAAGTTCTGGATAAGATCATTCATATCTCGGTAAGAGAATATTTTCCCTAACTTTGTGCATCTACTGCACTTGTTCATTTTGTGCATCTATTGCACTCCCCTTAACTCATGCATCTATCACACTTAATCACTCATGCTTTGTTCATCTTTTCACTTTCCCCTCTCGCGTTTGGACGCGTTGGGACCACTTTTTTTGGTTAAAAGCAATCGGGTGTGTCTCGGTGTTTACACCGCTCCTGTTGGTTAAAAGCACTTGGGTATGTCCTGGTGTTTACACCACCTCTTTTGGTTAAAAGCATTCTGGTGTGTCCTGGTGTTTACACCGCTCCTGTTGGTTAAAAGCACTATGGTGCGTCTCGGTGTTTACACCACCTTTTTTGGTTAAAAGCATTCGGGTGTGTCCCAGTGTTTAAACCGCTCCTGTTGATTAAAACCACTCGGGTGCATCCCAGTGTTTACACCACCTCTTTTGGTTAAAAGCACTTGGGGTGCTTCACGGTGTTTACACCACTCTTTTTGGTTAAAAGCACTCGGGTGCATCCCAGTGTTACACCATTTCTTTTGGTTAAAAGCATTCGGGTGCATCCTGGTGTTTACATGATCTTCGTTTTCTTCCGCGTGCGACACATTAGGATCTTGTTTGGCATCTCGGGTGCACCCAATGATTTTGGTTACGCTCTGTCTTTCCTGCACACCGTGTAGTTAAGCTTGCATAATTTTCTTACATCCTTTCTGCATGAAATGTAGTTAGCTTGTGTTTCCCACGCGTGGTGTGTTTACTTACTTATTTGTATGCTTAAGATTGCTGTATCCTGTTTTGGTTTGTTTAAATGTAGCATTTTGATCGCGTAGCGTTTCCATTTTAAATGTTTCATTGCACAACCTCATTGCAAGATCATAAGTTATGTTCTTGCATCATGCATATCATTTCTATTTTGCCCCAAAACTACGCTAGTTTGATTCCTTGTAAAGGGATATATAGGTAGCCTGCGGGCACAGCTATTTATTGCTGTCTTGATTGTTTGTCCAAGTTTTATGGCCTTGTCAAATTAGGTCGTCTCTGGGCTTTGATATTCACTCATGTTATTTCATGACTCCGAGTTCTGTCAAAGAGGGGCAACTGTAGACACTCCATTTTTGACGGCCCTTTAAGACTTGGATGTTCTTGCAAGTACATCCGATGACGAGTCTGATTGCTCACCGAGCGCTCGAAGTCCGCGGCAGAACGCCACAGGTTTGAGTTTTTCAAACCCTGCATTCATTTTGTCTCATCTTTGGACCATGTCTGATCCTTCTCAGCCTGAAGTTGTTGATGGCTTGCCGGCCATCCTTGAAGGCTGTCGGCCATGGCTTTTGTCATGCCAACAATTTATGTGCCTTGTCGGCCATCAGTGTTTCCTGCAGATATTTTGTGATATTTTGTGCCAGCTATTTGCACAAGTTCATGCATCTTCCAACACGTGCATGGCTGGATGTTTGTGAAGAGATTTCGTATTTTCTATATATAGGACCCCTCTCTTGCATGTGTGGGGGTTAAAAAATTTGAAGACAAACAATTCTCTCTCTCTCTCTCTCTAGATTTCTCTCTCTTTCTCTTACAATTTTATGCCTTGAAGCTTGTTTTCTATACACTTTTACCTACACTACCTTGATCAAAGTTGCTTCTCTTTGAGCTGAGGTTCCTTGAGACTTTATTTGAGCTCTAGCAAGAGGTTTTAGCTTGGATTTGTGCCTAGAATTGCTCTTTGCTTCAAGAGGTAGTTCACTTGCTTTGTTCATTTGTTTATCATACTTGTTTTCTCATCTTTCTAAATTGTTTTGAGGCTAGTTTTGAACTAAAAAAGCCTCTGTTTTTATGTCCTGAAAATGGTGTTTTGAACCCTTTTTAGTTGGGAGGTGGTTCACGCTTCTTGTTTCCTTGCTTGTAAAGGTTTTGTGCCTTTATTCATCACTTTAAAACCAAGTTTTTTGGGCCTTTTAACCACTGAATTTCAAGGGTTTTTCAGTGGTAAAAAAACTCATTTTGAAGTCCAAAATTGGAGGGGTTAGCCTCCCCTCCTGTGTCTTGTTTGCATGCCTAGGTAGCTTTATGTTTTAGCCTATTAATCTAGCTTGTTTTAGCTCAAGTCCAGCATATTTTTGCCTTTGCTATAACTTGTTTTAGCTTTGTTTTAGGCTAGTTAGTTTGTTTGAGTCTTGTTTTGCATAGTTGTGGTGCAACCCTATGCATTAGCTTAATGTTTTGGCTTTTTGTGTCTTGAGTCCAGCATGTTTTAGACCATATTTAGAGCTATTTTGCCTCTGTTTTTGGTTGTTTGTTTCATTTGAGC